AATTTGAAGGATGGGTCGGGTGTGTCCTTCGTGGCCCACCATATCCCAGAATTCAAACTCCAGTTTCCAACAATGGTGGCCGCTACTTTTAAGTTTTAAAATTACTCTTATTAATCTTTCTGGGTCACAAAATAAACGTTTAACATATTTTCAGGCGAGAATGTGGGTGTGTAAACTTCAAATATCTGCTCGGTTTATCAAGATATTGCATATTTGCAAAAGTGCTTTGACGTTTTCGGAGACGTCTGTTACCCACCAGCTCGATAGCTAGCCGAGAGCTCGAGGGTCACTGAAGCCGCCGAGAACGGCACAACTCCCAGCACATCATTTTCAGATCACCGCGGTCTTTTGCTACTCAGGTTAAACGTAATATGTGTCACTTAGACAACCTAAAAATTTTATTGTTTGTCTTTTTTTCAGTGTTTTATTTGTTCGTGACTAAATCAGTTTGGCTGAGATTAAAGTTATTAGATTAGATTAGATAAAATAAAATTTTATTAATCCCCCGGGTGGGTTCCTCCTTGGTTTTTACAAACCTGACTAAACGTCAAACAGAAAACTGATTAAACAGAAGTGTGAGATGGTCGAGAATTTACGCCAGTGTCCTGTTATATTTTAGATAGCAAGGAGCAGACGGATGAGTCTATTAAACTCCACCGAGACAGCAGTGATGCTAATCAGAAGGCTAGACCGTTCAATTTCACGGCCGTTTACTTCCGGCCTACCCGACCTTCTCAGGACCCGGCCTTTGCGGTCTACATGGGCCGGGTCCTCAGGAAGATGCAGCCCATGAATTTGGGCACAGCTAGAGATTAATAACAGATATGATTCAATGCAGAGAGGTCTATTAACTTTCCGTGTGGAAATGCATTTTGTGCTAGCTAATAATCGTCCAAATAAAATAAATCCAACTTGCACATAAAAACATTTATTCTTGAAAATTGGCTGTGATGATGTTTTCATAAATACGCCCAAAACGGTTTTATCCACACACTTTTATATTTACTCTAATTTAAGCTGCTGAAAATTCAAATAGATTTTTTTGTGCATCTTCGTGCTCGCTTTTTGACCGTATCAGAACACTGTTGTCAGTGCTCTGTTGTTGCTGTTGTCTGCACTTTAGATGAATAACAGTCAACTACAGACTTTTCAAAAAATTAAAGG